TATGTTCATTATAGGGTACGCTAAAATATTGTGTACTTTTGTTTTCCTCTATTTGATTCAGAACTGAAGCCATTTTCTCAGCATCAATAACAATCAGTAAGACGTATAGAATTGCTAAGAGAAGGATCTGCCACAAGGCTATTTCTTGTTTATCACATGGGAGGATCTGGGTGTGGCTATGGATATGCGGTGTGGGCGGATGTGGATGTGGATGGGGATGGAAGTGGAGTGTGGGTATCGGCGTCGGTGTGAGGAAGAGAATGACTCTCATACCCACCCATGCTCCACACCCACACACACACCCTTTTTATAACGCATTTAATAATTAGGTAGGCATTGTTTTTAGTTACTTCTATATGAATTTTCAATAGACACAAGCGCAAAGCAAACAACAGTACGACTTAACGATTTTTTTTTGTTATGTGAGATGGATACAATGATAGCATGTTGTCGATGTAACGAGAAAAATATTTTGTATGGGTTTTTAATAGGTTTTTTTATGCACTTTCTTCATAAAAATCAATTCGCCATCAACAATTTTTTTAATTCATCGGAGAAGTTTTCATAATATACACACTTCTCCAAAACAAAGCAGAATGTATAGATCAACGAAAATTCTTGGCGAATTCTGTAGTCCTGTGTCGATACAACGAGTTACAGCAATCCGCATCTCTCGTGTGAAAAATAGACATAATCTGGGCAAAGTACATGCTCGCTGACTAAATAAACGAAAACCTCATGTGCAAATCAATGAAGTACATGAAGGGTGTGGGCCTGGGTGTGGGTGGGTGTGGGTATGGGTGTAGGGTGTGGGAATGGGTTGGGTGTGGGTGTACTTTCATAAATGACACATACTCGCACCCACACTTGACACTCACACCCACACCCACACGCACGCACACTCATACCACCACACCCACACCCTACACCCCACCCACACGCACACCCACATCCACACACACACCCACCCACACCAACGCCCAACCCACACACCACACCCACACCCACACCCCATATCCACACCCACACCCACACCCC